CGGGTTTTCATGCAAAACATAACCGAGCTGACAGGCCGATTAATCAATTCCGAGTACGTAGGATCAGGATCTGTGCCCCACCTGGTCCTAGAGTTGCTCCATTGGCCCTTGCTATGAGATGGTGGCCAGTCTGAACACCATGAACCAAATAGATCAACATTAGAACATGCTATCATCATTTAAGAAACTTTGAAACACATCGAATTGCTTGCTTGCCGACTTAGTGACAGGTCCAAACGTGATGTTTTTTCTCCACGTCCTCTCTGGGCCAGGGCCCAGTCTCTGGACACTAAGAACCCTCCACGGCTAGAGGAATGGCTTCCCCAACATATGAAGCTGGCCCGGTTCGAAAAGCTGCAAATTACTACAAATTACAATTGTCTCATCATGTTTCTATATGTTTCTTATGGATCTGTGTGCTCTGAGCCCTGAAGATTACCCAAGCCCTCTCATCATCACAGCGACAGTGTCATTTCTGGCATCGATGAGCTTTCCACTTCCATGCTGCATCCCATTCTCCCAACGGCCCTGGCCCAATCAAAACACAAATCTACAAGCTCTTCTACCCACAGGTGCCAGCTTTTTGTCAAACAAGCACTTATGATAATGTTTTGTCAATGTGATTTGCTCAGCAAACGCTTCTGGACTTTGGGGTTGTGGCCTGATTTTGGGTCAAACTCGAGCAATGAACCAACATGAACCAACATGGTCCGTGGCAGGCATGGTTCCCTGCAACAGCTCCATTCAGAACAACATTTGTAAACCTGCCATAGTGAGTTTGGGTACTTCCAGAATACATAACGGGTCTTTCGGTGGTGGTGGCAAACGTTCATGGCTCGGTCTCTGATCACAAAGGAAAACTGTCCAGCAAAGAAGACTTGTGATGTTATCTGAACATCCAAATAATGTCAAGGTCAAAAGGTGACATAAACAAAACCTCTCAAAATGGATCTTTTTGCGGGTTTACCCTCAAAAGCAAGTGTCCGGCCCGGACCTCATAGCGCATGTAAGTGTCCAGCTGCTGGATCCCAAAGCCATGCCTCGCATGAGGGTTCCCATTGGTGTTTGTTCGCGAACTTTCATCTTGAGCCTTCAGCATTCCGAAGAAAAGAACGATGCCCCAAATGGCCTCAAACGTGTCATGGCTGGTTTATTCCCTGGCCGCAAGAGGCACATGAGCCAGGAGCATCGAGGGTATCCACGTAAGTGACGGTCATTGAGGTGATGGTGTTTTGTTGTCCGTATTCATGAATGGACTATGGTCTGAGATGATTTCAATCACTGAAGAGTAGGGAGTCAAACAAACCAAGGCGTACAAGTATGAGGATTTCCAGGTGGAGAACTAGTCTGGTCCATCAAGAGTCTCAAAGACTGGACAAAACATGGGAATCACATATCATCATGGCTACTTCTAGGTGGCTGAAACTCGGATGACCGTCAATCCTGCTGAGACTGTCGATCAACCACTTGTGAAACCCAAAACGCCACCAAGTCAAATTTCCCCAGGCCTGGCCCAGCTACTGGCTCCCCAGCTTTCCCGGACGGACTCGGCCTCTTGCCATCTCGCCATTGGCCCCGGTAAAAGCGGCCCGAGGGCTCCACCAGGAGCCCCTCGCCGTGCTTGCGACCTGCGGTCACGGGGGCGGCGGCGGCCGGCAGCGGATGTGGCAGATTTTCGGCCAAGGCTGCCGAGAAGTGCGATGAAATGTGGGTTGTGTTGTGTTGTGTGTTCTGCGTTGTGTGTGTTTTGAACATAGAGATTGAATTGATATTGAAGTTTTACTGGTCGCCACAGAATCTGTATACCACTAAAGAGTCGGTTCCTCAGGACCTCTCCACGACACGCTCCACGCTCCACCTGCACGCCATTGGCCCTCGTAGGTGGTGCCATCAGCCCAAGACCGCTGTCCCGCGCCGTCGAAGGTGCCGTTCCGGAAGTGGCCCTGGCGTAGGGTTCGCGGCCGCAGAGGAAAAAAACAAACACCTGCCAAAATGGATGAAACTGAACCCTCCCGGCTACCTGTTTCGATCTGTTTTGGTAAAAACAAACAGAAGAAATGGTCGCCTTGAAGACCAGTTCCCTCTACAAACAACCACATACTGAGTGGGATGGAATCCCACCTGAATTCTGTCTTACTTCCAATCATTTTTGGCTCATGTTCACACTGACCCCTTATAGATTGCACAACTCCCCAAGTCTCACCGTCTGACCAAACCACCAAACTTCCGGCCATCTCTTCAGTATACTACCGGTGTGATGCAACCAAGAAGGCATACATGAAGGCGCAGGAAGGCCGTGGTGACAAGGATTCAAAAGGAAAGGATGGCAAGGGCAAGAATAAGGACGGCAAAGGCAAGGGGAAGAAGGGCAAAAATAGCACAGCCTCAAAACAGGGAACCCAAATTTGCTCCCACCGTTCAAACCCATAGAAAACACCCTTGCCAAGGACGGAGCCCTACTGACTGGCTAAACTTAACAGTTTACATAAACGTTTTGTATTATGTATGACGTTTATATGATTGTAACACGTTTTTACACAACCGTTTATATCAACAGTTTATTGATATTAAAATACACTGTTGATATGATTATATCTTCCAAACTAAACAACGACTGGAGCCCTATAGGGAGCCCTACTCGCCTCGTAGGTGTCTCCTTGGGCGGTCACCAGGCGCCCTGGACCCTCGCGCAGTCCGTAGCGGAAACGGCCTTCCAACGGTGCAGGGCGTGTTAGGTGCTGGGCAAAGAAAGCAGCATTCTATGAATGAGAGGTCAAAGCACTCAAAAAATAACAGGACAATGGAAACAACCAACATGATCCTAAAATGTAATTGTTTATTCCATGAGTATCACTCGGTATCACCACACATAGAGTAATACTGCAGCCAAACATCTTGTCAACATGGCCATGTTCTTTGTTGGACCACTTGATCCTAGTTATATATATATATATATTTGTTACTGTAAATGATCTATAACATATGGATATACTGTAAATATAAATAGTATAGTATTGTATATATACACAACGTATATATATATATGTATAATGTAGCCAGCGCTTCCATTGAAAAGGTATGGTTCCTCTATTGAACTATTCTGTGTATCATTAAAACTTGATTTCAATGAACATCTCTTTGGTGTTTAGCCCATGTTCCAAGTCTTTGAATGTCTTGCTGAGGCTTGCTCCGCTTGGATCATGATCCATCGGACAAATGTTGTACTCATAAAGAAGTCTTGCCAAAAGACCTTTGTGATTACAACCCCAACACCAGCCTTTCGGCTTAGCTAAAAAAGGTAATCATACAAGTAGAATACACATCTAAATAATTCTAAATACAGTATCTGTCTGTATATATCTATATATATAGGTTGGTTATATAGATAGTTTGGTTGGCTCAAGGAAGAGTCAGTGGATATGGCGGCTACTGCTTGTCACTGCTGATTTCAGGGCCACACCCATGCAAAGTTGCAAATCTCATATATGGGCTGGACGGCTCCCGTTCCACTTACAAAGGCTCCAATCCAACTAGTTAACTCGTTCGCACTCGGTGAAGAACAAACCAACACACGAAAAAACAAAAGCTACACACACAAAAAACAAACAAACACGACACGCTTACGGCAGAAAGTCCCAGCCTTCGTAAACGCTGCCGTCCGGCATCTCTTCTCGCCCCGTTCCGAAGCGTGGAGCCGATGGAAGGGACCTCGGACGAAGGGAAGGGCCACAGGTCCTTGGACACGTCAGGCTACACCTGGTCTTTGGAGTCATGAGTCATCTACACCCATGTCATGCCTATGAAGGAATCTATACTGCATACTCCCATTTATGGGGGTCATGTCTGGTCATCTACCTGCTCTGAGCTGAGAGCTGTGAGCAACCAGGTCACCGGTACATCAGCCCATCCATGCCCATCCAAAGTAGCTTCATTTTTTAGACTGGACATGGCTGAGCTGTCTTCCCAACCGGAGATGGGCTGCCAGCGGAGCTGTCCACGGGTCCTCCCTGAGGCTCCAGCGGCTCCACGGTTCCATCATGCGCTGCCTGGACATGGTGGAGCTGTCTCCACAGCCGGGGCTACTGTAGGGTGGAACAGGGCATTCTTGGATGTCTTATATATAGAATAGGATAAGATTGGATAGAATGATATAGATGATATAGAATGCCTCAACATGCCTCCCCTCTCAGGTCCACTGTTTCTGAATATCCCCCCCTGGCATGATATACATAGTTCTGCCGAATCCCATCGAAATCCTTCGTACAGTAAGCTCCAAAAAGAAGAAGCGGCCGAGTGCAACCCGTGCTTCTTCTTGGATGTCTTGCAACGTGTGCTGAATCCAAGAAGCAACGTATGTATTGGGTCGACATTGAGCCCGACGGAGTCGAGTCCACGAGGGAAACGGGAGGCAGGACTGGACGAGGTCAGCGTTCCACCGGTTTCACCGATTGGATCACGAAACTTTCAAAGTGGAAAGCCACCGCGCAGGTTCGCCAGTTGGCTGGACTTATGCTAAGTCTTTCCGCTCCATTCTGGGCGTCTGCTAAGTCCCACCGCGCCTCAGCCATTGCCGCGACCTCGGAGTCAAGTCCAAGTTCACAAGTGTCTATACGCTTTTTCACGAACAAACACGTGCATGGTTGGCAGCTTTGTCATGGGCAAAACAGTGAGAATACTTTCCTCTGATTGTTCAGTGGAATCAGCCCCCTGCCACACTGCCATGGCAATCTGGAGTGAGACTTGCTCAACTGGGTTGAGCCGAAAGAGGCATAAACATAGCAAGAACACATCCGTCGGCCAGAGGCTCAAACTGAACGCAGGCCCATACAAAGAGACACGCAAGTGTTCAAGTGTGCTTGACGCGGTGTTTCTGAACATGTGCGACACGCTTTCCTTGCCCCCTACTCATCAATCACCCGAAGAAAACCAGTCGCCCTAGTTGTAGAAGTGGGTCAGAGCGCGTCCGGAGCAAGAACCATACCCACACGTTTTGAGTCCCTCTAGCGGCCTGGCAGGTATGTGCATAGATAGTGAGTGCTTCCCGAGTAGCTAAGGACATGAGCGGTGTGATGAGCTTCAACCGACCGAGAAGCTACTGAGTGGATGCTGAGGCCTGAGTAGCAAGCAAAGTCTTGGCCCACTATGATGCACTTTGTTACTTGCAGCTTCTTGTTACTAGTAGTAAGGCCAGGAGCCTCTAGTAGCGTCCTTGTTTTAAAGAGGTGTGCTTTTTAGGGTCACCACCCCTGATGGCACATGCACCTATCCATATGCATACAGAATCTACAGAATCAGTGAGCTCCTGCAGCGAGCAAAAGCCGAATAACTTCCAAGTTGCCATTCTCGGATGCAACCAGTAAGCTTGTTGCCCCATCTGTTCGTGCAGCATCTTTGTCAGCTCCAGCCTCAAGCAACAACCTCACAACTTCCACACGGCCATAATAAGCTGCCATAAGCAATGCTGTTGCCCCACCTTTCTTTGTTGCATCTTTGTCAGCTCCAGCCTCAAGCAACAACCTCACAACTTCCAACTCGCCATCCTCAGCTGCCATATGCAAAGCTGTTGTCCCATCTTTCCTTGCTGCATCTTTGTCAGCTCCAGCCCCAAGCAACAACCTCACAACTTCTACATGGCCATTCTCAGCTGCAACCATCAAAGCTGTTGCCCCTATAAATGTTCTGGTGTTCCTGTCAACCCCAGCCTCAAGCAATAATCGCACAACCTTCCAGTGACCCTTGTAAGATGCAGCGAGCAAGCCATAGTCTCTACCCCTACCCGCCTTTGATGCATCCTTGTCATTTGCAGCCTCAAGCAACAACTGCAAAACTTCCAAGTGGCCCAGATAGGCTGCCTCTGTCAAGATATCCCATTCATACTGTTGGGCTTCTGGATCCAGCAAGAACGCAAGATCGGTTCGCGAGTGCTCAAGCTCCTCTGGCATTTCCCGACTCTCTGAATTGAAATTGCAAGTGCATCGATTGGGGTCTAATGGACTCTGAAGCAACGATTCGACCTCGCCGGCTTCATTCTCAAAACAAGCAAGAAAAAGGGCATCTTCCGTTATATCATTTAGAGAAGAAAAGTCTAGGAGTACCAACTGCACGCTTGGTATTGGTCTTAGAGGCATATCATCCTGCAGCTCAGCATCTTCGCTGAAGATTCTTTGCCGAAACCTGGAGTATCCGAGCTGCGTAGCAAGGAGTTGCTTCAGGTCTGCGATGCGGCCATGCCCACTGTCCACCATGCGGTCCAACTCATGCTGGTCAAGCTCTGCGATTCTTGTGCCAGACAGGCTCGTGACCTCCATGCTGAAAGAAGCTATAGCCAAAATGCCACATGTAAGTGAGGTATGACGGTTCATACATCTGGAATCCCTCTGCATCATGAACATGTAGCTGCAAGACATGACAAAAGAAGGAACTCCCACGTGGTCCGCTACGGGGATCAAAGCCCTGTTCTTCCAGAGTGACTCGGCCATGTCCAGGGTCTCGTCATCCAATTGCACGAGACACGCAGTAGCTGGGAGGACGAGTCACAGCTGCCATGCGACCCAAACAAAGTCATAAAGAATTGGTCAACCACTAAGCCACTAAGCAAAACCAAGTTTTAGTGAGTCAACATCTTTGCTCAAAAGTGCCATTCGGGGTTACTGCAGGGTGTTATTTGGAGGCGTGGTGTTATGCGCAAGTATGGTAGATACGCTCTAGGTATGGATGTCAAACCGGAACAGTTCTAATATGTTCTAATGAAAGCGGAGACATGGCTACTGCCCGCTACTGTCAGGCAGGCTTACGGCTTACAGAAGTAATTGTGGCAATAAGAAGGCCGCAAACCACAGGACTGAGGATCACCCACACGCCCATCTTCCCTCCAACCGCATATACCAAGAGCACTGGTGAGAAACCACGTCACAATGCGGGAAAGTCGCCCATGATGTGTGTCTTTTTGTGAAAGACCTCATGATTATCAATCATTCTCACCTCAACTTGTGGTAACTTCGCTTATCTTGATCAAATCCAGTGCGTGTGTGTGTGTGTACAAAGCAGTTTGCTGCCACATCTTAGATGGCAGCCAAAGCACGGCATAACATATTTTACATATGTTAAAGCACGGCATATGCGACTCCACAACCTTTGGATGGGACCTTTGTGAGATGATGATATCTCACAACCTTGTTCCGCCTGCTGGTTCAAAAAAAAACGGACCCCAGCTACTAATGAGGACCCCTGCTCCCACATCACACGCTTCATGTTTTCGCGGCGATTCAAAGCTTCGCCTGGATGGGAAAAGCATACGAACACATGCTTCGGTGTGAGTCCCTGCTGAATAGATCCGAACATAGGAATCTTGTTCGCTTATGTCTTTGGGAAGCTCATTGCCTGGGAGCGCCAAAACAAAGAAGGTACAGTAAATAGCGCCAAAAAGTGGATCAACATGGAATAGAACTTGTGATATCCTAGATCTTGTTAGATCTTCGATATTATGAGCTGAAGCCACGGCCAGCTCTGTCTCCAAAGCTCAAATTGAATCACAATTATAGTGGTGGGCTCTACTTGTCCTACTACCAAAGGTCTGCCAAGGGCATCCTCCTGCGTTGAGACATGACGAGAAAACCGAGCTCATAAGCTGTCTATTAAAGGATAGTCTGGAGTCCCTTCAAGGTAAAGAACATCATCGGTCTACCATCGGCGATGACCCGAACATTGCAGGAGATTCTGAAATTTCATTTGCCGCGTAATTTTTCTTAGAGTCATTTAGATAGTACTTCCCTGGAAAAAACCTGCCAGGCCGCTTTGCTTCATGAACAACCGTAAATTCAGAACCGCAACAAGGTCTGGCAAGGTCTTTGGAAGAATCGGAGACTGTTTGCGAGGATCAAGCTAAAGACTCCAAGTCTGCCTCTTGACAAGCAGCAGGCCAGTAAAACCCATCCAAAGTATCTATATTTGAATATATAATATATATATATAACACACTGAGATGCATCTACGTACATCAATGTTATTCTTAGAAGCAGGAGATGCGAGGGTCCACGGTCAATAGAATATGAAGCATAAGCCCAATCAAATACATGAAGACACAACAGGCGGGATATTTAGCTATCTGCTCTTGAACCATTTCTTGTTTGGAAACCCGAGCTCTTCCTTCAAGAGTAAGACGAAAACACCGAACAAAAGCTCTTCGAGCAGGGATCCAATCAAATTGTCCCCTGTCACCCTCCTTCCATCAGTGCGGCATGACTGTGGCCTGGCTGGCTATGGCTTGAAACTGCTTTGAGCTTTCTGTTTGATGTTCCTGCAAAGAGTGCAGGCCAGCCAACAGCACGGTTGGTCTTCGCATCATGCATCGTTCATGGAAGGTGCCCCCCGCACCATGGTGAATCACCAGCGTGTCATGGCACTGGAGGGGGAAGGGTCGAATTGGACCAAGCATGACCAAGCGGCTTTTTGTTGAAGCAATTGGTCTGTTGAGTTGGGGGCAAATCTCGGGTCCTGGCGTTGACTTGAACTTCCTTGTCTTCGGAAAGGGACGTAACTTATGTTCTTGGAGGGTGTTGATGCCCAAGAAGGTATATAATTCTCGGCAAACAAGATGCTTGTAATACCAGAAGAGACAATATCCTCAAAGTGTTGGCTGCATCATATTAATATTCCCAACCCTAAACCGGATAATGTCGTGGCTTGAATCGTGTCTTTGAGCAAACATGCCGCCAATAGGCAACATCTGGCAGTGTGTAGTTGAAACCACTTTTCGTGCCTTGATCCTCCTCAGCATTACTCTTACAAATGATGCCAAGCATGGGACCCCATAAACAAATTGAACGATTCCTATTCCTGCGTTGGATCATTTGTCTTGAAGGGTACTTGGCAAGGGAATGGACAAACAGGAGAAAGAACACTCTCTCACTAAGCAGCTACGAGTACTAGGGGCTCCTGGCATCGCTACTAGGAGCAAGGACGCTACTGGGGCTCCTGGCCTTACTACTAGGAGCAAGAGGACGCTACTAGTAACAAAGGGCATCGCTACAAACGGAGCAGACTTGCCACCACCGTTCGTCGGATTCGAGAAACTCGTCGGCGCGCGCCTTCGCGGCCAGGAAGGCTGGCCGTTGGCAAAGACGTTCCAGGTAACTCTTGGTCTGTGGCTTGTATTGCCTCAGAAGAGGACACTCTGCGTATTTGGGGTTGGCTGTGTTCAGCCGGCTGGAGATCATCTAATGTTCACCCAAGAGCGGGTACAACTTGCAATTCACCGTCCTTCTATCGGAAGGTCCATGTTTTCTTGTTGAAGAACGACTTTTAATCAAGAACACGATCCGCACAATTCCGCCAAAACCGTTTGCAAGAAGGCCACGACGTTGACGTGCCATATGCCTTTAAAGTGATGTCACCACGACGTACCACTGGAAAGCCATAAAAGCCAAGAAACTGGTCAAATCCAAAGGTGATGCCCAGCTCCAATGCAAAGGCTACACCTTGGGTCTCGTGGATCACAGCTGAATGTGAAAAGCGGTTTCCCGCTATGCACAATGGTGAGGTGATTCCTTACTTTTGCAATTAGGTAAAGTAGCAACAAAAAGGCCTGTATTGCAGTAGTCGTCTTGTGCAAAGCCTGGGGCAAAATCTCATACACAAATTTCCCCATAATTTCCCCCTGCAGCCCTACAAATTAGACAACCCAAGTAGGAGCGAGCATCCAAACAGGCTACTGGTAGACTCCACCCAATGGAGCCCAGTGGCAAATGTCGGCCAAAGTAAATCTGCCACCACCTCAAAACCATGCACACAGTCACACCGAATGCACGGGCACGTGATTCATGGACAAACAACAACTGCCACAACCGATGGTTCGTCCATATCGCCAATAAAATTATCTTCCCAAAGACATTTTTGGTGCCATCGTCTTTCAACACAAAATCTCAAGCTCAAACACTAAGCAAAGGGTCACCATGTGGCTCATCTGAGATTCCTGACACAAAAACTCACGTCCATCTGCGAGCGTGTTGTCTAAGAGTCGAAGTCTTGCAATGTACCACTTTCCATAGTCCTGGCACCAGGATGAGTCATGGTGTTGCACATTTGTCACAATGCGAAACATCCAATATGATACGGATTGATACCGTGTACATCCGTACAATCTGTAGACTTGAGTGACTACTCTAGTCTGTGCAAGGGGGTCAGAACCTGGCAATTCGGCTAAACAGGCTCCGTTTATAACCGAGAAATCTTCTTGCACCTCCGCTGCTGAGTCAGCTCTGCCCTTCTCCTGCACGAGTTCGCTGCTGTCTGTTACACAGGGTCAAAGCTGGAGCCAGACCTTCGGCCTTCGTCGTGGGCCATGTAATTACTTGTTTGTCCAGCTGGGCCATGTTTGAAAGCCAAAAGCCACACCGAGAAAACGACACCATGTGACTATAATATTTTTGAAACACTTGGAAATCGCAGCCAATGGGTCTCGCCTTACGAGGAAAACATTCAGCAAATCACCGAAAACCACTGACCAAAACCACTGACTTCGACGGACGTGGTTTTCGAACGCCTGAAGTGTGTAGCGAAGCACCACCGTCTGGGGGAAGGTCAAGGTGGCATCTGCATGCGCAATCCTTGGAGTATCCGACCCATGGGTCCAACGAAACGGGGGATTGCGGAAGCCAAACTCTTCCAGGGCCGAGGCAAAGAAAGTGCAAACAGGTTTGGGTGAGTTCAGGTTGTGTCTGGATTTCATAGATCTTTGCGGGAAACGCATGCCAAAAGAGATTGATCCCGGTTCTTTGGGCATGAGGATGGTCTTGTCGAAAAGGGAAGAACAGCAACATCACTTAGGAGTGAAAAACAATATGGACACTCACCCCAGACCCATCTTGCTGAATCATGTCTCTGTCTGATGCCCCCTGACATCATGTGACTTTCTCCAAAATGCAAACACTGTGCATTCGGCGCATGAAGATGTCCTTCTCCTTATAACCAATCGCATGAACTCCCGAAGAACCTATCTCTACTCTGAACCCCATTGACTTCTGTGCAGGGCCCTACACAAGTCTTTGAGGTTGCTATTTAGCAGTCCAGTTCCGGTGTTATGTAGCTAAGGCCCTTCTACCAACCAATGGTCCTCCTCTGTTCATCTGCTCTTGATACGGGCACCACCGCTCGCCGAGCGGTTCGTCTGTAGAGTCATTCCCCGTGACATCGCCGTTACCGGCCGCCCTGACTCCCGGCCGTGACCGGGTCGCCAGTTGATGTAGTCTGGCCATTCCGGCTCATTGGGTTTCACCTGCAGCGAGGTTGGACCTCAATCGTTCGTTGCGTGATCGGAGATGCCCGGGATAGAGGAATTGCGACGTCTCAGACTTAAGGGGGTATATTTCAGGAACAAATGTATGATTGAACAATAAAATAATCAAGAAGCCCATGCTGTCAAATGCCCAATTCAACTAGTTTGAACGAACTCACTTGACACATCTTGAAACCGTCCTGTATG